TATAGATATAAAAGTTGGTCTGACCTTATTTCAATGAGGAAAGTCATTGAACAGCAGCGTCTCCTGCAGGCTGGAGAGCAGCTGCTGCGCCGTCAGACCTCTCATGTTGCTTCCCTCTGCACAGAAGAGGGCTTAGAGCCATGAATGCGCTCCTCTATTCTCGCCTGTTTGTTTGGAACCCAGAGAGCGAATCTGGAGGGACCGAGTGAGACGCAGCATCTTTCTGTACCTTTAAACTCAGCTGTTCCTGCACACATCAAAGCAAATGTTCCCACTCAGAGCTGCAGAATTTAAACATGTCTGCAGGTCTCCTTCCTGCTGCACAGCACCTTCCTTTACAGCAGGTTTCTGCTGCAGCTCAGACAGGTTTCATCCATCAGATCTGGGTGTTCAGTTACAGCTTACTGATGTTTCTACTCCTCTGTGATGGAAAAAAAACACAGCAAGGAGAAGATTGCTCCACACAAACGTCCCTGTTTCTGTCATTGAAGGGGTATCTTAACTTCCCGCATTGATCCTTGCCTCCTCCTCTGTCCCCTCTCAGGGAATCGCAGGCACTGACGTGGCTAAAGAGGCGTCTGACATCATCCTCACTGATGATAACTTCACCAGCATCGTCAAGGCCGTCATGTGGGGGAGGAACGTCTATGACAGCATCTCCAAGTTCCTCCAGTTCCAGCTGACCGTCAACGTGGTGGCGGTGATCGTGGCGTTCACCGGCGCCTGCATCACCCAGGTAACTGCTCCCCGTTCCTCCAGGCGAGAGTTTAGTTTTAAACTCTTAATAAGAGTGAAAACCTCCTGAACTTCGTTTCTATGATGTTTCAGTTTTGCGCTTCAGTCCGTTTGTCAGCAGGGATTTCAGTCGGTTAAACAGATGCTCTATCATCACATGTCCGTTTTAATAAACCAGTGTTATTTCCTGGGGAAACAGCTTGTGACAAACTGACTGAAGCGATGATGGCGGTTGATTCTGGTCTCTGCTGTCAGGAGGTGAGCCGACACCTTTTATTCTTTCAATGAGGAAACTGAACTCCTGAACCGATGCGGAGCAGAAAATCTCTGGGTTGTGTGTTAATTAAAAAGCTCACAGCTGGCAGCAGAGATAACTAACCGCTCTCCAGCGCGGAGAACATAAACCAGGCTAAGATTCAGCCTGAAACCATGGCAACACGTCACGTTAAAGTTCCTGAAATATAACAGGAACTCAGCAGGTCCGCAAGCTCGGTTTTCCCCCAATCATCATCATCATCAACAGCAGCTTGGTGCGTGTCGGGCCACCGGCATGTTGACACACATCATTAAAGATGGTCTCTGCCTTTGTTGTACCAACAGGAACCGGCTGGGGGGCTTCAAGGGTCTGATTGGGGGGGGTTAATGAGGGCTACATGATGAGATGTTAGACTGAAACGTCAGGATGCACGGCAGCTATTAGCAGCTATGCAGGCATCTCGAACAGGGATGCCGTTTAGAGGATGATGGGGTAGAATTTTTCACTGTAGGGGGGGAATGGTATGATTGTGCAAGGGGGGGGTGCTAATATAGTACACAAACCAGTTTAAAGGAAAAGTCTAGTTAACAAGGAATATTCAGTGGATCATTATTTATACCTAAAACTAATACATTTGTGGTGATTTAATGAATTAAGTGTTAATCAGTAAAAAAATAAAAATAGT